GGCATTTTCAGATGCTAAAACTACTCTATAGTTAAACTGTCGGAACCATTTAATGGGTTTTCGTGGGTCGTTGTTAGGGAGAATGATATAAAAGTTTTCGTATACTGTTGTCAGGTTTGTCAAGGCGACAATATAAAACAAACAATTAGTTTTATGAGTTTTGTAATCAAGTTAATTATTTCTTTAATTCTAGTTTCATTAACAGTAGTAACAATATTTGATATGTATATTATATTTATTAATTCTATTTTTATTTACATATTATTAGGACTATTTTACATTGTTAGTTTAGTTTTTGAAGTTAAGAGTAACCTAAATCTCCTAATCTGGTGGAACCTCATGAGATATTATAAGGATTACGGCCGAAAGTACGGTTAACAACAAGAACACTCAACTGGTGAATTAATGCATTCTAATCATAATGGGCTATCTGTGCTCTGCCCACCACGGGTATCGAAACCCGGATTTTAGCGTTGTAAGTCCGCAGACATACCGCTGTACCACTGGGGTACCATTCTAATCATAATAAGTTTTATGACTTTGCATACACCTCGTCATACCTGTATATTCAAATACCTATATTAATTACTGGATTAATTTCTATTTCTAATCTGTGCAGGTAAGCTTGCTTTGATCAGAAGATAATGGTTGACATATCAGATGGAGCGCGAAATTCTTTAAGAACTATTTTTTCAGTCGCATTTGTGAATACTTTTTAAACACGGTACATAATGGCCTTTCTTTGTGCTACCAATCGCGAGTATCGAAACCCAATTTTTGATATTGTAATTCTACAGGCCTAAAAAGTTTTTGAGATTAGCGTAAATTTTACTCAGGTTTTTCAGAGTGCATTTCCAAATTGATATTCTAACGATGATTTTAAAAAGTCGGCTTAAGTTGAACGAGTTGTTCGTTTCATTATTTATCATAAGTTGTTGATATTTCTCCTGCTGTAACGTTTTTAGTATGGAAAGTTAATTTATTCGATATTTATTGACAGATAAGTTACGAATTTTCCCCATAAACATTCTCTGAGTACCGTTTACACGAAACTCAGAGAATGTTTACGGAACCGGCCGTTTACATGAGGTTCCGTAAACATTCTCTGAGTACCGTTTACATGAGGTTCCGTAAACATTCTCTGAGTACCGTTTACACGAAGTTCCGTAAATATTCTCTGAGTGCCGTTTACATGAAGTTCCGTAAACATTCTCTGAGTACCGTTTAAATGAGGTTCCGTAAACATTCTCTGAGTACCGTTTACATGAAGTTCCGTAAACATTCTCTGAGTACCGTTTACATGAGGTTCCGTAAACATTCTCTGAGTACCGTTTACATGAGGTTCCGTAAACATTCTCTGAGTACCGTTTACATGAGGTTCCGTAAACATTCTCTGAGTACCGTTTACACGAAGTTCCGTAAACATTCTCTGAGTACCGTTTACACGAAGTTCCGTAAACATTCTCTGAGTACCGTTTACACGAGGTACAGATGAACAGAGCTGATCACATAAGCTGTCATGCTGTGCTAGCGATGTAAAAGACGGTTTATTAACTTGCCTTGATCCTCATTCTTATTCTTTATATACCTGAGAATTGTGCTGGCCCAATTCCTATGCTACACGTGCACGTACGGATGAATTAACATTGTTATATATGCGTGTGTTCCCTATAGCCGATCAGATTCCCTTATCTGTACGACAAATTGCCCTATTTTTCCAGTTGTGATGGTTACGTCAGTCACACACGATAATTGACCAGAAGAAAAATTGCCGGGAGTTCCATATCTGTTTCATATGAGATTTGTTCAATCAGTCAGTCTTTTTTTTTTTTTCATTTTCCTCTTCCGCTATTGGTAATCCATAAACTTCTGACAAGTTATTATATTCCGCTTTGCCAGCAGTTTCTAGAAAAACTATGCTTCCTTCTTTTTATTATGGATAAAAAAATTAATAGATATGAATTATGCGACGAGAAAAACGCTAATCACTTATAGATAATCTTATTATACTAACATTAGCGTTTTGTTAGAAACGGGTAATTGGAAGCTTACTAGGTGCGATTATTTTTCGTTCGTAATCACTAATTATTTAAACCCTATACAGTGCAGCGACACAGTATGGAAATTTAGAGAAGAAACACTGCACGTGTTTATCTTTGTTCTCTCCCCCCCCCCTTATTGGTAGTACAACTTAAGGAAGAAATCTACAGAGAACAGAGATGAATATTCGCATAAGGTCAGAACATGTCATACTCCTGCCTTAGAGATCGTTAATGTATTGCTTTGTATAACGAGCTCATCAAGTAATGATTTTGTACAGCGATTTAAAGTCTGTACGACACAAATCCTTCGATGTCTTAATCACGTTTCTATTGTTTAGTAAAGTTCTCTGAATAACTAATTTTACCGTGTCATAATTTTGATAGTTTTTTCCTCTCTCTAGCTTTAATTATAATGTGTATGTTAAAATAACCTTTATTCTCAGTCATTATAATGCCTATAGAAGACACTAAAAATACTATGTAAAAAGAGGTAAATTTTCTAATAACCGAACATAGTCCTGCATTGCAGTAATAAC